GACCGAGCCAATGAGCGGAAGTGGACTTCGTGCGCTGGTTGGCTGGGCCGCCTCGCGTCAGCCGTACTCGATTCTTATTGGTCACTGTTTTTCGTTAATAACTCGTTAACGGTGTCTCGGAGAACATTTTTGTAAAGGAAGAAGTTGCTTCAAATGATCCGAGGAACCCGCCATTTCCGGATTGCGAGACATTTTTGGGACACCCTGTATATATATATATCTGCTAGAGAAATACATACATGCGGAACTATCGATCGGTGAATGAATCGTTTGAACGCTGAAGGAACTGTTGCAGATAGAGAATGTGCGTATAAACGGTGCATGACGTAATGCGATGCAGTTTCTTAAAACATAAACTGCCATTGATAAGTCCCCGCGTCGACGCTTCGAGAAATTGTGCAGCATCTTTGTGCAGGCTGGAAATATCGAAGCTTTTAACCGGCACGGTTCGATCATTGATAGCGGGCATTAAAAATGATTCAGGAACTTTCTAAATGACTTAAGCGTTCACTGTTTTGTTGGCTCGCTAACGATTCCTTTCATTCAGGCGATAAAACTTCTCTGCATTCCCTTCAAAACGAAGCATTCACGTTCAACTTGTTCCGAATCAACTATCCGCATACACATTACTGTCGCGGGGAATTGAAATGTTCGTACACTTGTGCAAATAAAACTGTGTATAGGTCCCAGAAGATTGCGTATATATCCAAGCAAGTCGTGTTGCACCGGTGGTAGCAGCGAACACAATCAACATCCAAGCGGTGTAACAAAGCCTCAAGAATGTATGTATCTCCAAACCAGTTCGTGATGGAAATGGCGGAAAATAATCGGCATATATTGTGTGTTACACGCGCATTGAAGACTTCTTCGAATTCTTATTCGTCGGATGTGGTCGAGATTTCGTAAAGTGGACGCAGCAAATAAACGTTAGGAGAAACGCATCGACACTGTGCATTCCTGTACCAGAAGAACTGATCTTCAAGTCAGGATTAAATAGGTTAAGTGTGTGCGTATTACTGCGGACGCCCCAAATATTACGGTATTTTAAAAAATTAATAAAATCTAACACTTCGTAGCGTGTAATCTTCTAAAAATGAATTCCATAACTTTGTATATGTTTAATATCGATATTTGGCGCGCAGTAATCGGAACGTCCACAGTATTTGGCTCGCAGTAATAGATACATAACCGCGGTAATATATGCACGCGTATGGTTTCCTTACATTCCGATTTTTAATGAAATTCGTGCTTTCGAAGATCCAATATTTCGAGGAAAGTAAATATTCAAATTAAAAAATAATAGGTATAGCTCAAGTTGTCAATTTATTGGCGTAAAAGGACTTATTTTCTCTGTCAAAGTTCACGTTCATTGAGAAACCGCAGTAATACCTATACTTACTCTTGGTCATATAGTTTTTTTCTTTTTTGTTATTTTGTCCAAAATAAAAATCTCCAAATCGTGCCAGTGCTCCGCTACTTCCGTTTCGCGTCTCTCTTCAGGTTTCACGGACTCTTTAAAACCGAGTCCTGTTTAAGTGTCTAAGTTGTAAACAATGGCGTAAAAAAGATAAAGACATGATTCCGGAGCCCATTAAACGCAGGCCTCTATAATTCGATCAACTCCGATCGCATAGCGTTTGCGGCCAGGGAAAACGTATCGCGGACGCGGTCTCTCGCGCGCTGTTCCCAACAACAGAGTTGCATTCGCGCGTAGCCGCAGAAGTTTGCGCGGCTCGCGAAACATTGTTGGCATAGCTCGATACGTGACCCGCGTTTACGCGCGGATATTTCATGCGAGAGAGCCGGCGGTACGCCGCAGCGCACCAGGAGAGGGAGAGAGACAGACAGAGAGAGAAAGAGAAGGGGAGAAAGAGAGAGAGAGAGACAGACAGACAGACAGAGAGAGAGAGAGAGAAAGAGAGAGAAAGAGTAACAGAGAGAGAGAAAGAGAGAGAAAGAGTAACAGAAAGAGAGAGAAAGAGTAACAGAAAGAGAGAGAAAGAGTAACAGAGAGAGAGAAAGAGTAACAGAGAGAGAGAGAGAGAGAGAGAGAGAGAGAGAGAGAGAGAGAGAGAGAGAGAGAGAGAGAGAGAGAGAGAGAGNAGAGAGAGAGAGAGAGAGAGAGAGAGAGAGAGAGAGAGTAACAGAGCCGAAGAGCTGCAAATACGACTGGCGTGACTCGAAGGTGCAACACCGACTCGATGCACGCGATTTAACGACCGAAAGAAATTAGGCGACCCCTCTGGAAATCAGCAAGCATCAAAAGCTTGTTTCACGAAGGATCGTCGTTTTTTTTCCTTCTGTATTCAAAGCACGATCGATTCTTTATTTAAATAAATCGAATTCTTGTCGGATATAATTCGGCGAGAGCCAATTTTCTGGGGAAATCTTCAGAATTTTAACGAAGTCTCTAACACGTTCGTTGCTACTACTTTTTTTTCGGCGCCTACCTTCATTGTCAAAAAAATGTTTCAGCATATTTCATGCAAATGAAACATCTATTCCTCTTTTGCGAAATGTTAGAACAACATAGTAAACGAAAGTTACGGACTCTAATAAGTTATGGACTAATTATTAAAATATACCGTGGACTACATAACTGTTCATAGCAATATGCATAAAATTAATTCGAATGTCACGTATGTGCGATGCTGGTGATGGCAAACGTGTTAAAGCATCCATCGCGAAATGTATATGCATTAGTCCTACATATTTTGGAATTGAAAGCTTGTAAACAAAAATGAACAATTCGGGAAGAGGAGATACGATTATTTGTGCCTTGAATCTGAATTTATTTATAATCGTTGACAATCGGCGACTATACAAACGAGCCGTAAGACTGGAATAATCGTTTCTCTTCTTTCCAAATTGTCCATTTTTTGTTTACAAGCTGAAGGAAAATTGGGGAGAATTTACTGCACTTGCATCGGACCTAAAAATAGGATGCTTATTGTCTACAGACAATTAACAAATATTATAAACCAACTGTATTACAAAGATTCACTTTTAAACAAGCCATATCCGATCAGGTTATTACATGCTACGTAGTATAAAGAACTTTTCATAACAGAAGCTTCAAGCGTCGAGACACTAATATGTCCTAATTTATTGCACAGATAGATTATTCGCACCTTCGGATCCACTTATCACCAGCCTGTGTGCTTGAAGCAGTACAAGCAGTCGAAGAAATCGAACACCTCGGGCGATCATTTCGTCGAATACAATCGCGACCACCGATTAGATAAGAAGTTTTTGAAACGTTCAAATTCTTGGCTTCTCTATCGATGTTTGATTATTCGTGGTGGTTGTATATTATTATCATTGTGCCGGATTGTTTTCGCAGCAAACTTTACGCGTGTGTGTACGAATTATTGCGTTACAAATTACTGCTGACACGGAAACAACATTATATAACAGTTGCATGACAGAACGGTTTGCGTTACCATTATTTCGTCTCCATGTCTGGATCGGAAAAAGACAAGACACACAGTTAATTGCAATATGTAATCCGTAAAAGTTTCAAAGTTCTTCTAAAAGAAGACTTAACACTTAGCCAACCGAATGGGGAGATCTCCCCGTTTTAAATTCAGTCGATTGATGACCGAATGGATGATTACTGAAAAATTAAAAATGATTGCTTAATTTTATTAAGACTTGCAAAAAGTACGAATGATGATGAAGTGATTGATGCCATATAAGTTTTTGTTTCGTAACTTTTGTTTAATCGAATGAAATATTATTAATAATAAATAATAAATTTTAAATTTTTAAATTATATAATATTGATTAATAAATGAATTTTATGAAAGTTTTTGAAGTTTCTAGCACCGTCGTGGAAATGTTAACAGGGACGTTCCCTTGCCATTCTAAACGATCGTGATTTTAATCGAAGTTCAAATTAACCACTATTAAATAGACCGCGTATCTTTATGCAAAATAGAAATTTAATTCTATAATTAAAATTATTCAAGTAGGAAATTCCTATACAGTTTCCTACGGTTTATTGTTTAAATTCCGATATAATTGTTTCATGGTTTGTTCCAATGGAATTATGGAATTAAATAATGAAGAAAGAATGAACGCGATGGAATTATTTAAGAAAGAAGGAAATTCCTGCATGGTTTCTGTTTCTGAAAATCGATGAAGATACATTTTGCCGATGGAATTATTTCATTCCATAAATGGAATTATATTTAAGAAGACAGGAAATCCCTATATAGCTTTTTTTCACGGTCTATGGTTTAATTCCAATGGGATTATTTAATCTCGTCGTTGGAATTATTTAAGAGAACAGAAAATCCCTGTATAGTTTTTTTCACGGCTTGCGGTTCAATTCCAATGGAAATTATTTAATCACTAATAAGAATAATTACTACTAACCGTCAACTGTACGATCATCATAACAAGGAACACATTAATTAGAGCCCAGTCTCGTAACAATCGAACGATTTCTTACGAAACAACGGAGTTCTTTGGGAACAACGACGGCTAAAGCAACTTCTAACTTTCTCCTGGAATCCTATTTTGAAATATCGCGTATCGTTTACAATTCGAACAAGCGTTACACGTCGCACAACGAGTCATCATTATACCATAACTAAAAACTAAGCTGCTTTGCAAACGCGATTTTCCCGAGAACGCAGTCTCGTTCCAAATAAAACCGTTTTGCTCCATCGTTCTATCTAATTTTTCCCCTCCCAAGTATGTAATCGCCGGAGGATCGGTACAGAGACTTCTGTCACGCTGGCTCGCTGAACCAGACTGTGCATCGCGAGGCAGCAAAAGACCGACTGAAAAGCATGCGAGGGAGGGTAGTAGTCCACTTGTGCCGGTGGGGAGAGAGCGAGCGAGCAGGGAAGAGAACCAGGCCGAGAGCGGCGCCGGGAGTGGGAGCGAGACGAAGGAGCGATAGAACGAGAGAACCAAGAAGTAGTGGGGGGGATCGTGGTAGGCAAGGAGGGGACACTCGTGTCGCGCGATAACCAACGTCGAGGTGCAAACCAGCCGCGAATTCGAAAGGCGGCCAGTTGCTGTTCGCGCGTCGTCAGCGCCGCGTCGCGAGTACACCCGATCGTACTACGGAGGTAAATCTCGTCGTCGTATCAACAGTGATCTATCCTCCACCTCCCTGAGCCCGCTGCGCACGATCTTATCGGGACCAGTGTACAGTTGTCCGATCAGTAGAATAATAATAAAAAAAAAAGAAAGCAGGAAACACCTCCCTCAGGGACTCGAGATAGTGGCATGTAATTGGTAGTCGGCGGAGGCGAAAAGTTCACCGGTGGATCACGCGATCCAAAGGTCACACACGAGCGTTCTAAGCCTTCTAGACGTCCCACGGCTCTGAAACTTTAAAGCAGAGGCACGTTCGACTCTCGACTCACTTTCCGTGGAGTCACGTTCGGACTCGATAATCGACGCGCTCCGAAAACCGTGGCGAAAAGGAAAAACGGCCTAGTAATCGCGCGCGCAAGATTTTGGCCTGCCGAGAAACTGGTGTTGCCAGGTTGAACGTCCCTGTTCCGAGACGCTAGACGCCTGGAGAACGCCTGACCTTCGATCGAGCAGCGGGGCCACGGAACATCCTCGCGCGCGGATCTCGTTGCATAACCGTGGCTCGGCGCAGAAACGGCGGAGCGATTCGTTCGCGGAATGCCGACGGATCTGTTCCGTCGCTGACGCAAACAGTGGGTGTGTGCCGGGCGAGCCACGATCGGCGGCCGGTCTCGGCGCTCTCGGCGAACGAGAGCCTTGTTATCTGGGACCACCGACGTCGCGAAAACGAGCCGGGGATCGCGCGGACACCGCGATACCCCGTCGTCCGGTTGATCGGCGCGGGATAGGATTCGGTGTAACGCATGATTTCCCACGTGGCACGTAGAGCTGCGTGCACAGGCCGGGCCGCGTGCGTGCCGCGCTGTCAGCCGGACGGCCCGGCTCGGCTCGTCCGAGCGGCGGAGCAACCTGCTCCGCGAAGAAGCGTCAATTAAATTAGCTGCACCTTCTCGACCCCTCCTCGACCCCTTCTCGGCGTCTCGTCTTACGTCACGTTCCGCAAAGATGCGCGACGTCCCCGCGCGGCCAGCAATAATTCCGTCGGCGGAGAGGCTGCGGCGGCTGAAAATCGTTCGCACCAGATGCGCCGACCGGCTCCGCACAGCTGTCTCGATCCCCGGACCTGCTCCGACAACAATTTTTCTCCCGCAGCTGCGGGTCTCGCGCGAGCATATCCGAGCATCGGTTTTCGATGGCGCACAGGCGACGAGCCTCTTCTCTGTTTATCCCGCTTCCGATTCGCCGATTCGAGAACCCTGCGTGTCGTCGACGTTCTTCCCCGACTTCTCGTCTCGTCTGGTCTCGTCTCTTCTTTTCTCTTCTCGTCCCCCATCTATTCCCGTTCGGGCTCGTTGAAAAGCGACGGCCCGTTAAATCGACTACCGGGCGCGATCGTTCGTGCGGGAACGTGATTCCACGGCGGGCTCGCGACTCCGCGAGGCGATCGAACGGCGTCCGGCTGGCCGGTTATTTTTCCTCGGATTATTTTGGAGAAACATTGGACCGAGCGGAAAATCTGTTTGCCGACGCGAACGATGGCAATTGGAGTAGGTCGAGCCGGGGAGAACAATGATAATCGTTGGCAACGCTTATCGCGGTCTAACGCGCTCGGGACGACTGAATCAGCCGCGATGGGACCCGTGTTAATCGGACTCTGATCGGCTCCGAAAATCGATCGTACATTTCGAGAGGATGGCTTCGGCTGGTTTCAGTGTCATTGTCATCCTATGATAACGCTGTTCGGATAATGATGGAACTATCGTTGCGAGCCTGGAAAGTGGAACAGTCGCGAGATAATAGGCCCCGATGAACTAATTCCTACGCGGTAGAATCGTGGATAGCAAAGATCTCGTCGACGTCGAGAACTCGCCGCAGACATTGCGACAGTGTAACCGTCGAATTCTTATCGAGGAAAAAATAAACGACAACTTCCGTTCGCCCTGTCCGTGCCAACTCTCGTGCTGCTCCACCTTTCGCGCTGAAACATTAATCCGTTCTATATCGGCGAGCGAGCCCTTCTTATCTCGATTCGACGGTTGACAAGTGAAAAGATCCGACACTCGGAAGGAAGCTTTTCCAGTATATCAGCGCCCAACACTTTCTTATTACGATCCCGGGAAAGGGATCTCTAAGAATCCCATTTTTCGGAACCGGTCACAGTCTCGCCGGGTCGTTTCTATACATAATTCAGGACGCTCCATCATCCCGTTCGAAACGATAGAATCACGGCGCACTCTCGCCCGCCGTTCCCCCGAGGAATCGGACCGTTCGGCCGAGCAACGAGGAAAATCTCGCTCGGGTTTTTTCTCTCGAAACGATTAACCAGCCTCCGGACGTATCGGAAACAAAAGCTCGGCCGTGATTGCGGGATTAAAAGCGTTGTCTCGCGAGCTAACGGGCCGAGGTCCCCCGGATAACCGATCTTAATCCGCCCTCGCGGGGAACTTTCGCCCCCTGTCTCCCCCCCCCCCCCCCCCCCCCCCG